GAGGAGTAAGAGAATGACCAGAGACAGGGTAGGGCCGATTAAGGATTGTAAAGGGAATTTGTGCACGGAGCCTAACGAGATAGGAGAGGTCCTTAATGAATACTTTTCTTCGGTATTCACAACTGAGAGGGACCTAGTTGTAGGGGAGGACAGTGTGAAACAGGCTGGTAGGCCAGAGAAGGTCGCTGTTAGTAAGGAAGATGTGCTAGGAATTTTGAGGAAGTTGAAGATAGATAAGTCCCCCAAGCTTGATGGGATTTATCCAAGGATTCTGTGGGAAGCAGGAAGAGTTCGCAGGGCCTCTGGCAATGATCTTTTCATCTTCACTGTCCACAGGTATAGTGCCAGAAGATTGGAGAGAGGCAAACGTCAGTCCCTTGTTCAAAAAAGGGAATAAGGATAATCCCGGAAATTACAGGCCTATTAGTCTTACGTCAGTGGTCGGCAAATTATTGGAAAGGGCTCTGAGAGATAGGATTTATGATCACTTGGAAAGGCACAGTTTGATTCGTGATAGTCAGCATGGATTTGTGACAGGTAGATCATGCCTCACAAACCTTATTGAATTCTTTGAAGAGGTGACCAAACACATGGATGAAGGTAGAGCAGTGGATGTGGTATAGATGGATTTAAGTAAGGCATTTGATAAGGTTCCCCATGGTAGGCTCATGCAGAAGGTAAGGAGGCATGGGATAGGGAGAAATGTGGCAGATTGGATTCAGAATTGGCTGACCCTTAGAAGACAAAGGGTGGTAGTGGACGGAAAATATTCAACATGGTGCTCAGTTACAAGTGGTGTACCACAAGGATCTGTTCTGGGTCCTCTTCTATTTGTGATTTTTGTAAATGTTTTGGATGTAGGAGTGGAAGGGTGGATTAGTAAGTTCGCGGACAATACAAAGGTGGGTCACGTTGTGGATAGTGCGGAGGGCTGTTCTAGGTTACAAAGGGACATTGATAGGATGCAGAGCTGGGTTGAGAAGTGGCAGATGGAGTTTAACCCTGAAAAGTGTGAGGTGATTCATTTTGGAAGGAAAAGCTTGAAAGCAGAATACAGGGTTAACGGAAAGATTCTTGGCAGTGTGGAGGAGCAGAGGGATCTTGGGGTTCATGTTCACAGTTCGCCGAAAGCTGCCACCCAGGTGGATAAAGTTGTTAAGAAGGCGCATGGTGTGTTAGCTTTCATTAATAGAGGGATTGAGTTCAAGAGCTGTGAAGTTATGCTCCAGTTATACAAAAGCCTGGTTCGGCCACATCTGGAATATTGCGTCCAGTTCTGGTCACCTCATTACAGGAAAGTTGTGGAGCCATTGGAAAAGGTGCAGAGATTTACCAGGATGTTGCCTGGAGTGGAGGGTAGGTCTTCCGAGGAAAGGTTGAGAGAGCTAGGGCTTTTCACTTTAGAGCATCAAAGGATGAGAGGTGACTTGAAAGATGTGTTCAAAATGATCAGAGGTATAGATAGAGTAGACAGCCAGAGACTTTTTCCTAGGGTGGAGGAGCTATTACGAGGGGGCATAGTTTTAAAGTGAGTGGAAGTAGATTTAGGGGAGACGTCAGAGGTGGGTTCTTTACTTAGAGAGTGGTAGAGGCGTGGAATGCATTGCCGAAGACGGTAGTGGAGTCGGCCTCATTAGGGGCATTTAAGCGGCTATTAGATAGGTATATGGACGATGGTATAAGGTAGAGGTGGAGGTTAGATAGACCTTAGGATCAGGGTAAAAGTTCAGCACAACATCATGGGCTGAAGGGCCTGTACTGTTCTATGTTCTATGTTCTGGATACCAGTGTTAAGAAAGGAATTTGCAGAATCTCATAGCAGCCCAGCAATCTACACCCAACAGATTACCAGGTTTGCTAAAGTATAACCTGAGGTTGTTGCAGTGGCTCTATGGTAAACACATCTGTAGTACGCTCCCAAGAATATAGTTATAATCTTCTCACCAGTTAAACTCAGCTAGTGCCCTTGCTGTTGCTGTCAGCGAACTCAGAAAGCTGCTACTCATGCCAAGATGGTGCAGTCCATTAGCTCTGTTTCAGGTTCCAGTAGTAAGAGTTTATAGAAATCAGCTGCAGTTAGAAGTATATTTATTTCTGCACATATTCTTTAATGAAAAATACAGCAATATTTTTTCTCTTTGAAATGCTTTTCTTAATGCATTTGTAGCAGCTCTAACATCATACACACCAAGTTGGATAATAAATGATGAATTATAATTTAACATGTGCCATTGTTTTGCCATTTTCTGAGAAATAATTTGCGCTTAGAGATCATTTCCCTGCTAGTGAAAGCAGTGCAATAATAGCCATTGTATAGAGTTTTTACAGTTTCTGCATTTCCACTTGTATGAATTTAATCCATTCATCCCTATTCCATATTTACATATCTATGCAATGAATAATCTCAATCACGTATGGCTCTTTGGGGCTGGGTTTTCAATTTCTTCTGGGATCCAGAGCACAAGAGGCCGAACTTTGAAAACACTCCTCCCGAATAATGTGTCAGTAACTTCACACTAAGCTGTAACTTCAGGACATGTGGGGTGGGGAAAAGGCTAGTTGGTATGGTAATTAGAATGATTAATTTTAGAGGGCATTTCAACTTAGATGCCATAACACTGTAACAGACCAATGATTTAAAACAATCAAAAGATTTCTGGGTGTCAGTCAGCAACAAATATTTTAAGCCCGCAAATTAGATTGTTTTCATGTCAGTTGATTGCCATTTTGGAGGAGGTGAACAATGAATAATTTTGTTACCCATGGTTTTAAGGAAACATCCCAAACACAGAGGTTCAGTTGTCTTTATGCCTGTCTCTCTTATTCAATGTCTATCAGTTACACACACCATACACACATGCAACATAACAGTACCCCAATAGTTAGCTTATCCAATTTGGTTAACCTAATTTGGAATAGTTTCAAAGTGGCCCTATCCTTAGTCAGTAAAACTGTGTTTATTATTGTCCATACTTTAGGGATCTGAGGCAATTGATTACCCTCATTCTGAAATTATTTTCCTTATGTAATATAATGTTATTTTACATATTTTATAAAATACCCCAGTTTGTAACCTTGTCTCAATCAAGTTACTAATAGTTTCAATTATTAAGGTCAAATATTGATCGAAAATTGTTGGGACTGCCACTTTCAAAGAATTATCTGCAGTTCCAGTCAGTACAGAATAAACATCTTATTATAACTATTGAAGGATTTCAGATGACAACAGCTATTATGAGTGGATGGAGGAATAGGATAATAAAGGTAATTTATGTAAATTGAATGTGTTTAGACTATAAAAAAAGATTTAACGTAAAATGTTTACTCATCTGGATTAAGTACTCTGCAAGTCTATTTCGGGCTATTTCACATCAACTAGAACAGTGGCACAAAAGGACATGGGCTGTACTGATAGAATTTTAAATTAAAGGTACACAGAAATGGGAATGGGTTTGGATGTTGGCAGAGGACTAAAGCCCCCCAAACATGGTGTCAGATCATCAACTGAGATATTTCCACTCACTTCCCAATTTAATCCAGGAATGTTTGCAGGTCAATGGGAAATCCCCAATGGAGCTTTCAGGTTAGTGATTAAAATGTTTAAATCCACAGTTAAATCAGTAAATCCTGCATTGAGGGCACAGATTTCCAGTACTGTGGGGATATAACCTGGGTCAACCAATTGGAGCACAGCAAAGAATTTTGTTCAGTGAAACTGACAGGTTATGAGATCTAGAAGGAATTAAACTGAATGCCTACAAGTAAGTGGTCCTATTTCTATTGTCAACAAAGAGAAAATATTACATAGTAGTAATTGTAATACTACAGGACCTGATTAATGCGATCCCTGGTTATGTGACCTTTGATTAGACTGTAAAGTTAAAGGAGTAATTCTGATCATAAGGAAGGTGTAGTCTTTTCACTGTGGTATCTGGTGATGCTGAACACAAAACAATCTTTGATAAAGCATTGACACATTTATGTTCATACCACCCTCCTGCGACAGGAGGGAAAACAGTCATTTATGGTTAATTCTGGAATCTTTTGTCAAAATTTGCTTTTTGACCACAGAAGGTGGTCAGTTAAGTCTAAGGGAAACACATATCTATCGACTACTTTCCTAAAAACCTTTCTTTTGTCTTCTACATGTGCTGCAGTTACTCTTTTCCACAAGTAAAGGTCATTATTAAATTATAATAGAAACCATGATCATTTTCATAAGTCAATTACAAACAATCAAATTCTATCTTGCGAGTATTAACTGTAATCTGAGAACATATTGGAATCATGAATTGTATGGTAAATAAAATGTAACTTTCTTTTACAATACAAGTAACATCATTGTAAATTGTTAAAACTTTTGAGGCTAACATTTCATGTTATATGATGGGTAATTTATTCCATACTGCACCACTACTCAACGTTGTGAATATCTTGTCTTGATAGCTGAGTGCAGTGTCAACTAATAAACATGGCTGATGAGCCAAAATTGATGTTATATTCATTCTTTTTTTATCTAATGCACTAATTCTAACTTGAAGTTTCAAGTAGACCTGCTTAAAAGCAATCCAAGTACTTACCTTATTGGCCAAACCCAGCAGGCATCCCCTTTATAAACCATTGGTAGACAGGGTAGGTCTGCAACTCGGTATTGCTGGGAATATTTTATCCAGGTGTTAAGTCCTTTATTTAAAAAGACAAAGCATCTAACACTTTTTTTTTGTGTCTACACCAATATGATTAGTATCTGACATCTGATTCCTAACGATCATGCTTTTCCTTCATGCCTTTTTGAAGCACCAGGAGACCATGTAGTACACAAAATATGGGCTCTAGTCTATTTAAATTAGCATCTTGGCCAAGAAGTTCATGGTGTTCAGATTTTTGGAAAGTATGATCCAGGGTAGGAGATGATTAAATTAATTTGGATTTCAGTTTTGTTGAAGAATCCTAGTTATATAGAACTGTGTGATTAAATTATTTTGAAATGCACATTTCAGGGTGGCTTAAATCGTTGTGATACTTTTAAGGCAAGGTTTGAAGAGCTCCTGCATCTGGTAAGGGAACAAGGAAAAAATATCTATTGGCTCTTGATGAGAAATTGCGATTTTTTAAAGTTCTACAACACTGAATCATTGGTGTATCAAAACATACTTTTATAATAAACAAGTTGTATCTAACAAATTATTTACAATATTTTATACATATTATGCTAAACTATTTTACTCAGTTTGTTTAAACCTGTAAATATATTAAAGATCGTGGTGGTAATGTTATGGAATAGCAATCCGGAACTGCAGACTTATGTTTTGGGGACATGGGTTTGAATCCCACCATTGCAGATACTGAAATTTGTTTTTTTTAAAATCTGGAATTAAAAGTTAGCCTAATGGCAACCATGTAACCACTGTTGTTTGTTGTGGAAACCCTCTAATTCACTAATATCCTTTAGGAAAGAAAATTTGCCATCCTTACTTGGTCTGGCCTACATGTGACTTCAGACCTACAGCAATGTGATTGCCTCTGAACTACCATCTGGGCAATCTGGTATGGGCATTGAATATTGGCTTGGCCAGTGACACCCACGTCCACTAAAAAAAACAAAAGCTTTACCTTCCTGAAACATTATAGCTTTCTTCATTGTAGACAACAGTCCCCTTGTGATGAAACAATATGTCATTTAACTCATTACAAACAACATTCAAGGACATCAGTAACAATATATATTGCAACAATTTATACACCTTCATCTTCTTGCATTACTTGAATTTTTACATTTACTTTTAAGCCAACTCTGAAATCCTCGAGTTAAGTGATTTAGCAATTTACTGCATTGCTTGAATACATGCAAATATTTCTAATTCATATGTGTCATTGTCTCCCCTTGTATTTGCTGCATATTCTTTTACAGTATGTATACATGGCTCTATCTTTTGAGTCACCCCTCTGCCAGCAGCACCATTGATTAGAAGTTAGGATTGTCCAACTGATGACTACAGCGAGAGAAATGAAGTAAATGGTGACACTTTCCAATAGTGAAATGTTAAGGAAAGCAGTGCCTTCAAGATCAGGAAGACCTCAACTAAAATTTAGGTTGCATTCTTGAATATCACAACTTTAAGTGAATAGCTTTAAGTGATGCATTAATTCCCATAGGAATCAGTATAAACGTCAGAATTCTGCCACTAAAAACTATAATGTAAACAACACATGATCTGTTCATTGCTGCCATAATTGAGAAAACATGATTTATGGATCATAGACTTGAACTTCCTTATTAGATAATTTGTTAATATTCTGCCACTCACAGTTGTTTTGATTTGGTGGTTTATTTATATGGTTAGCAGAAACCTTAATGTTATTGTTTGAACATATGCTATTTAGAATACTGTCCATCTGACATAAACAACTATTGATTGAGAGACATGAAGACAGCTCAACATAACATGTACTCATTTGGAATAGTAAAATAGGTGTACATGCTTAGTAATTAAAATATATTATATTAATTCAAGTTTTTGTTGGCTTTATTTGTCAGAAACTGAACAATTACAGTGCCAAGGAAGATACACAAGGACACTATCAGCCTCGTGTTTATCAGTATGAAGGTGGAGAAAGCATAGCATCATCTCTTGATTCCATTGCTATGGCTGAAAGTGATGCTGGATTCTGCTACCTGGATAACTTGGAAAATTGTTTCATTCCACTGGCCAAAATTTGTCAACAAAAAGATTTAAAATAAATTACTGTTAATCTTTCCCAAATTAAATTTCATTCAACTGCAGCAAATATCACCTTACTTCATATCACCGTAAACATCTGTTAAAATTTTGAAACATGAAGTCTAGATATGTCACCCGTTTAGCTATTTTTTTAAAGTTATTATTCTTTACTGATATCATAAATGACAAAAAAATCCATGGCTTATTTTTATTGGAGTACAAATTAAATATTAGTTAAAATAAGGACATATTGCTGAATTACTAACACAACCCAAATAAAATGATTGCCATTAGATGTGATTCCCTAGCACTTGCTAAACAATCCTAAGTGTGCTAATAGATATACTAACAACCGATTTCAGTTCATCAGTTGAGCTTGAAATGTGGCTCTTTATCGCTTGATGGAAGTGATGCAGAGACCCATTCTCTGTAAAAAAAAAGGAACTTGTGCTTTTTCGAAATATCTAGAAACACGGAGAGTCTATTATTTAGTACTGCTTTCTTGATGTCAATGCCTTGGCCAATCAGAGGTGGCATACTACCCAACTGTTTGTCTCTTGTATAAATTGTGATGACCAGAAATTTCACATTCTTACATTTGTCCTGATAAGTGCATGACCAAAAGTTACTGCACCGCGTCTCTATTTTTGTAATAATAATCAAGGGAATCCTAGAGGGATATGGTTCTTAATGGCCTTTATTATTTTTAATGTTTTAAATACTTTTTATGCATTGAGTTTTGTTAGCTTTACTCCATACTTTGAAATTTTTTATTATTAACCATTAAAGAAAACAACTTTTTTTGAAATGTTGTTTTAGACAATGCTTTCATGGCTGTATTGATTAAATGTGAATCAGGCATATCAAGCAAGCCACAGGCTATTGTACAGAGCTTGACACATCTGCATACAAATGATCTGGGTGAAGTACCTTTACGTACAGTATGAGAGGACAGACTGTTACTAACCACAGCTAATTTACAACATAGGGGCAATGTTACCAAAAGATGTCAAAAACAACTACATTCTTAATTCAATAGCTGGATATATTCCTGTCCAGCATTACAATGTCAGTTATTGTGTTGCTCAGGGATATGCATTAAATGCATGACTGATGAGGCAGGCAATTTCACCTTACTGATTATGTAGCATAATTATTCAGTTTCATCACAGACGGTTGGCATACACCTCACCGAAAGCCCTGTGCAAAGCTCATATTGCTTATTGTGTGCTATTGAACTATTGTGCTATTGAATTTGTGTAGCTTCCAATGAAGATAGTAGATTAGTTTGCTGGTGCAGAATTAAGGATTGTGCAGCACTTCTATCTGTCTTTTTGCTGGAATTCACTGATATGGTTTTCCACTGCATAATATGTGTGGGCAAAAATTATTTATGAAATAAAAAAGTACCTAAGATAATACATTGTTCCATGTCAATATATATATTCAATTCCTGAGGACACAGTACTACCAGGTTTTAGTGCATGTCATGAGCTGCCTATATCACAACCCACTGACTATGCAAACTTTATGAGGAAAAGTTTATATTCCCAAATTCACTGAACCAAATGCTTCAGCAGAATTTTGATGACATTTTTAATTACAGTTTTAAAAGCAATTTGCAAAAGGTTTAGAGAGTTTATGTTGAATATTGATTCTATTTTTTAGCATTTGTTAAGTGGTATGAAATTTATGTAATAATAGTTTAGCTGTAATAAGCATTATCCTTACTTGAAATGAAATCACAATTAGAGTCATAGATTCATGCAGCTTGGAAGCAGACCCTTCAGTCCAACTAGTCCAGACCAATCCAGTTCCCAAACTAAACTAGTCCCACCTCCCGGTGCTTGGCCCATATCTGTCCAAACCTTTCCTATTCACAAACTTTTTAGATGTTGTAACTGTACCTGCATCCACCACTTTTTCTGGCCTTTCATTCCACACACAAACCATTCTCTGTGTAAAAAAGTTGTCCATCATGTCCTTTATAAATCTTTCTCCTCTCAACTTAAAAATATGCCCCCTAGTTTTGAACTCCCCCACCCTAGGGAAAAGATCTTTGCCATTCACCTTATCTATGCCCCTCATGATTTTATAAACCTCAATAAGGTCACCTTTCAACCTCCTACGGTCCAGTGAAAAAAAGTCCCAATCTTTCCAGTCCATTTTTATATCTCAAACCCTCCATTCCTGGCAACATACTGGTAAATCTTATCTGAATCCTCTCCAGTTTAAAAAATATCCTTCCTAATACCGGGCAACCAGAACTGCACTTAGTACTTCAGAAGAGGCCTCATCAACATCCTGTATAGCCTCAACATGATGTTCCACCTCCTCTACTCAAAGGTCTGAGCAATGAAGGCCAGCATGCTAATTGCCTTCTTAACCACCTGTGATGAAAATTTCAAAGAATTTTGAACCTGAACTTGTAGGTGTCTCTGTTCTACAACGGCACCGAGGGCTCTACCATTAATTATACAAGTTCTGTCCTTGTTTGTATTACCAAAATGCAATACCTCACATTTATCCAAATTAAACTCCGTCCGCCACTCCTCAGTCCATTTACCCAATTGATCAAGATCTCCTTCTTGACTGTCCACTACAGCTCTCACGCCATAATGCAGGCATCCTAAGATGACCTCAGGAAGGCCAGAAACTCTTCATAGAGCAGAAGGGCAAAAGCTCGCTTGATCTTGATTTTCAGTAAGAGTACAGACCGTGACAGTGTGGCCTCACAAACCTTCTGACCTTTTGGGGTTTTAAGCAGCAGATGTCAGAAACATAACCACAGGGATAAAAGGTTTGTGGTAGCCAAGTGTTCATAGCGACTTCACTTTTTGAATCTTCATTGTTCTCCATCAAAGGGCAGAGTGCAGAACGAGTTGTGACCCCGCTTAAAAGGTTTCTCACTGGGGGATGTGGCCCACTTTCGGAAAGGAGAGAGTGCAGGCTGTGGTCCTTCTGTGGTGCAATGCCATTGGGGGAAGTGCCCCAGATTTAGTCAGATCTTCATCTTAAATGGGAGATCTCTTATTTTTAAACCATGTCCCCTAATTATGTCTCATTTACAAGGGGAAGCATCAAACAGTGTCCACTCTGGCAAGTCCCCTTGCAATTTTGTATGTTTCAAGAAGATCACTTCTCTTCCTTCCAAGGTAATCCCTTCACTCCAGGAATCAGTTAAGTGAACTATCTCTGTATTGCTTCTAATGCAAATACAACCTTTCTCAAATAAACTACCCAAAACTGTACACAGTATTTTATATGACCTCACCAATGTCCCATAAATTTGTAGTGTATTTTCCTTACTTTTACTTTTCATTTCCCTTGCATTTACAGCAATGATTTATTTCCCTTCCTTGTTTTTACCTGCATTTTTTATGATTCAAATAACAGGTCATGCCAAGCCTCGCTGTACCATGGAGTTTTGCAATCTTTCAGCATTTAAGTGAGGTACTGCTTTTCCATTCTTCCTGCCAATTGACAAATTCACATTTTTTTTGCATTACAAACTGTCATTTTTTTGCTTGCTCACTCTCGCCATCTAATTCTGGAAATACTCAGCAAGTGAAGCAGAATCTGTGGAGACAGAAATAGCTACTGAAGTGGAAAACAGCTGCAGCCATTTATGCACTTTAAGTTCAAATAAGCCATTTTGCACTTTGGTTTTATATGGAGTGTATTATGATTATTTACACAGATGTCAATTTCTAGTTCTGATATGATTCCAAATACATGCATTGCATGCTGTCATTGATTTAGTGCATGGGGTTTTCTTTTTTAATTAATTAAGTTGATTAAGTTTCAGTTAAGTTGATCAATGTCAGCCTTGGCTGCATTATATCACGTTAACTTCTAACTCAGAAAATTGTGTCAGCTCCAAATCAGAGCATCAAAATGTTCAAGCCTGATACTTTTTAAAAAAGCAGCAACAGGCGAAATAAAAGGAAAGAAAAGCCAAAACAAGAGAAAAATAAAAGATAAGAGAAGGAAAATTGGTAAAAGAAGTCAACAAACACTGCGCTTTTCTCTAGAGTCACAGAACAATACAAGACAGAAACAGATCATTTAGTCCATTTGTCCCTACCAACTAGGTATCCCAAACTTAACTAGCTCTATTTGCCTGCATTTGGTCCATATCCCTCAAAACCTTTCCTAATTATGTACCTATCCAAATGTCTTTTAAATGTTGTAATTTTAAGAAAACACAAAGACCTGCAAAGAGAAATTGAAGGCAAACACTTAATTATGGACTGGCTCATGTTTGACAGTCTGTCAGAACTATAGATGGCCAGCTACAACAGCTCAATAATATGACCATCAGTGGATGGCCTGAATGCATTCAACAGCTCCCCAAGCTGGTATGTTCATTCTGGTCATTCAGCGTTGAATTAGGGCTCTCCAAATGTGTAACTGTCAAACACAAACAAATGATAATTTTCCCAGTGCCCCATGAAGGTGTGCTGGAACATATAAATCTAGATAACATAGACATGGAAAATAAATGAAGAAATTGTAAAGATTGATGTATGAATCCACATGATGACGAGCATCACATGACTAATCAAGTTGTGTGCGACCTGTTGATTCGGTCGACCTCAACGATCCAAGAGAACCTTTCTTCCACACTAAAGTCCTTCTCAGCCATGGTGCAAGATTGTGACTGGTATTTCCATAGATGTGATTATATTCTGGAAATTACTACTTCACCAATTTTTCTTGTGTGCAACATACCAGAGATAGAACTAGTACAATATTTGTTGATTACCTTATTCAGTATGGTCTGTGTACTTCACAAAATTGTGTTTGACAACAGTCAGCAATGCAAACCCTTCTAAGATGTGCAGGAAATGGAGTGTTCAATGGTTTATTCTTCTCATAGAATCCGTACAGTGTGGATACATGCCTTTAGGCCCAACTACCCCTCCAAAGATTATCCCACCCAGACCCATTCCCTGTAACCCTACATTTCCCACGTCTAATCCACCTAATTTACACATCCCTGGACACTATGGGCAATTTAGCATGGCCAATGCACCTAACACATGCAGCTTCGGACTGTGGGAGGAAACCGGAGCAACTGAAGGAAACCCACACAGACGCAAGGAGAACGGGCAAATCCCACAAATTCCACACAGATAATTGCCCAAGAATGGAATCGAACCGGGGTCCCTGGCACTGTGAGGCAGCAGTGCTAACCACTGTGCCACCCTCTCCATACTACCATCAGTTGAATTGTCTTGTGGAATGCACTATTTGTTCCATAAAATCACTGTCATTAAATGTAGAATGACTTGTCAAATATTTCAGATAGCTATGTTAAATCTACATGTTACTCCTCTAGGAAACAGTATACCTTCAATGACAGCTTTCTTGTTTCTGAGATAGAGCCAGACAGTTCTTTCCTTCCGTACAATCATCATCCAATAATAAGTGCATGGTACATTGTTGGGAAACAGGAAGAAACTGGTGCAAAAACATGATCAATGAGCGTGCAGACCATTATCCAAACTTGACCCAGAATAAAGTATACGTGTTTAAGATTATGTCTCAAACTCATGGGTTTATGCAAAGATATTATGTCTTTTAATCTAGTTGCCATTATATGACATGATCATGAACAATGGTCAAGTCTTTCAAAGAAATAGGCAATTTATCTGAACTGGATATCGTCAAGCACACATTACACTGGATAATGATTTGTTATTAATGATATCATGCCAGAGAACAACAGCTTATTTATGACTAATTTACATGTCTATCTGTGACAGCAGACCACACATTGCTGACTGAAGCTACACTGCCAAG